CGTGGACAGGCGCCAGTCCATCGCAGGTAACAGGGACAATTCTCCCAGGAGCCAATTAACCTATCAGTATGTCTTGGTACTGTAGGAGGAAACCTCAGCACCCAGATCAAACCCACTCAGACATGGGGAGAACATGCACTCCACACAGATAGCTCCACCAGGACAGAAGCCAGGCCCAAGTGCTGCCAGCTCCTAAATCTAACCCTGTGCTCCCGTGCTGCCTGTTACAAACCACTAATTTAATAAAAAGATTATTAAATATATAAAATATTTTGTTTTCAAATAACAACTGTCTTCTATCATTTGAAAAAAAAAAATTAGGTGCAATTAATTCTTTTGCACAAGCCTGACGGTAAAGATATTCCTTTTAGCAGTGGACAAAACAGATCTGACAAAGTGTGCCAGGAGCAAGTGTTTCAATAATTCTGACTCGCATGACTCGGATTTGTTAGAACAGTCAAAAACAATAGTCTAGAAGACAACAGACATCACATTCACTCTTTGTTTGGGCAATTAGTTCACAAAGTTCAGGAAGAAAGTTGTTTGAATGAGATATTTATCCAGCGGTGTCCTGTAAAATGTTTTATGTGTCTGTATGAGACACAGGCCACTATTCCCATTATTGTGCAGAAGTGTGGATTATTTACAATCTACAATTACTGTACAAGAGAGGTATACTTGGTGTTTCGTTGGCAAACTGCTTTTTCCATGCCGTAGAGAGGTACAGTGAATTCAGTCATTTCTAAGAATGTTTTGTCCCATAACACAAGTTCGCTGAAAACCTTTCCATTGGCCTTTTAGCGGCATTAGAAATTGTGCAGGCGTGCGTACCACTGGAGCTCTCTTTTAATAAGAGAACAGACATCGGAGCTTGGAAAACCAGCAGACGTTTCCAGGCTTGAGAGCAGAGAGTACTTGTCTTAATCAAAACAGAGGACTGAGGGCTTCTAACTAAACATTAATAATAATAAAGCAATAGACTCAGTGGGTCAACTGCAGTTTTTTATTCCCAGAAATGACACACTGATGCTGACTTAAAAGGACAGGGGGCAAGCATGATACACCAGCTCAAGGGATATATAATGGGAGAGAAATCATCTTTCAGGTGACTAGGCTGCTCTTTGCATTTATTTTCATACCTGGGATCTTGAGAACAAAGTACTTACAGATTCCCTCAATCTACTGTAGGTGGTATAACAGAAAGTTATTTCAGGCTCTGCTTCCTTACACATTGTCAACTTTACAATATTTCCTAATTTCAAACCATTGTCCACTAAACCTGTTCAAATCCTAAGACGTTGAATATATCTCACATGGGTATATTGATTTTGGATGTTTGTGACTTTAGTCTGAAATTTATTTCTGTCCCCTCCTTTGCTGTGTAGATTTGATTAAATATTTTGCAAGCAGAAAAACTGTTGTTTTCTAGATTATCAGAAAGATAAAAGTACCATTGTTTAATGTTCTTTGCTGCACTCAAAATATCAGTCATTTTTAATGCATACTTCTAAAGTTACCAATATTTCAGTCTAATGAATTAAAGATGTGTATGGAATAAAGCAGTTGGTTGTGCAGGTGTCTTTTTAAACTGAAATAAACTTACAAAACAATTTTTACTTGAGCACACTTCCCAGAGATGTGCCACAGGAAAGAGAAGTATGAAATGCTTCTAGGAAGTAAAGCAAAATTATGCCCTTTTCAAACATGGAAATAAACTAATGTATTCAAAGTAGTTTATCATTTCTTGGGGAGGACAAAAGGCAGCCAGCCAGGATGCCAGTCAAATACCTCAGCAGCCCTACGGACACAGACATCTAATAGGAAAAGAAACAAAACCACACAGAATTTCATCACTCCCAGGCATTCAAAACATCTGGCCCTGGGTTCTGATCACGCTGGTATTCAACGTTACAACAACATTACTCCCTTGAATTAATTGGAGACATTCCGTTTTGATTAATTTCCTGCCACTATAGTCTTTCATGACCTCGAAAACCGCCTGGAGCCAGACTCCATACGGACATCTGCTGTTGTGTCTTGACATGGTCTGCGCGTGTAGCAGAACCGGCCATGTGTCGCAGATGAAGGGCACTGTGGAGGTTGCTGGCCAGTTTTTCAGTGATGCTGTGAGGCTGTCTAAACTCTCTACTACTTTTGCTCTGTGCGCTAGTCTTTGAGAAAGACCTGCGAAGGATCTGCGCCTGTGGCTGGAAGGTTGCCGGTTCATATCCCGTGGCCGGCAGAGGAATCCTACTCCGTTGGGCCCCTGAGCAAGGCCCTTAACCCCAACTGCTCTAGGGGCGCTGTATAAATGGCTGACCCTGTGCTCTGACCCCCAGCTTCTCTCCCTGTCTGTGTGTCTCATGGAGAGCAAGTTGGGGTATGCGGAAAAAAAGACAAATTCCTAATACAAGAAATTGCATATGGCCAGTGAAGTGATGATATTAGCGCTTCATAAGAACTAAGAACTGTACATGGGTGTTTATCAGAAGCAAGCACAAGGAATGCTAGCAGTAAGGACACAGTAAGGAGAGCTTGTCTAGATAGGAGGGCCCAGAGCTACTTCTCTTATAGGCTCATATCCTTCCTCAGTGTGACCAACCAGGGATCAAACTCCAGACTGGACTCAGAGATTCCGATGTTTGACATCTGAGACTGGCATAACAAAATCAAGGTTTCCTCCAGACGCACCCAAGGAGTTTAATTTTTCACCGGCTGAGCTTGCACACTCGGAAATTTCGCAAAGCCTATAAGTACCGTGATATGATTCAAATACAGCAAACATGAGAGACAATGAGAGCTGACTGCACACCAGTCATATGCAGTACATACATACAGTATATGACATGGAAACTACCACAGCTGAGTGTTGTGAAGTTAGTGATTTGTCTAGATTGTTGGTATACTGCTCACACCTGCCTGGACAGAAGGTGAAGAGGAAAGACTTTTAAGAGATGCAATCCTAAAAAAAGGAATCAAAGGAAAAAACAACAATTCTAGAAAAGAAAAACAGGTAGAAGTATCTTGGAAGTATATGAACGCCTGGTGTTGTGAGAATGGTGAACGGAAAAGGTCTCTGTGAAGTTCTGTCAGGAAGTGAAGGCTTCTCGAATATGGAAGTTTAAAAGTCTAATGTGGTCATTTGTCCTTTGGTTAGATTTGCTTCTCTCTGCTTATAAAACCTGTGCTTGAAGTATTAATAGACATGTGATGATACCAATCTGGGACAGCGGCGCTACAGTGGAATATTTAACCTTCTGAAGACATTTTACTTTTTTAAAGCATTTCTCAAGCATACCACAAGGTGGCACTCAGCAATTGCAAAAGATTTCATTGGGGCTGTTCTCTCCGAAGATGTTGTATGAAGCAATAGCACGTTTTTTTTAGTCTCAGGAAATGACAATTACATTTTTACAGTAAAAAAGCACAGGATCTTTTACACAATAAATGTGAAACGGGCAGTCGACAGTTGAGCTATACTGTACATTATATCTGTTGTGAAGCTAGATACTGTACTTTCTGGAGAGCCTAAGCTCTGAGATAGAACATCAATGAAACTTATTTCATTGAAACATGTTACACAGGTTTTGGTTTCCCAGATGAACAGAATCAGGATATTTATAAATAAAAAAATATTTCAATGATGAGAGAACCAGCAACAGGAAAACCTGTCAAGCTTTTTGTATGGGTGATGTAAACGTCTGAAGTAACTTTCCCTTTAGCATTTGTTTAAAAAAATAACTTGAATACATGGTTTATTTAGACACTGCCTGAATGTTACCACTATCATACAGGTTTGCTTCAGCCCAGATAGTCTAGTGTTTGGCAAACTATGGAATTGTTCTCACTGTTAAGGTAAATACTGGGTGTTTTCCTGAATTTTTGTACTACCTTATGAATTAATGTTGGGGTGTTGGGGTGTGAGCTTTTGGCAGGAATTGTCCTTGCTTTGGGCACATTGAGGTGTGGAATATTTAAAGCTTGTATTATCAAAAGATATGTATTTTGTTGGTTCATAGTTCATAGACATCCACATTTTTTTGGCAATGCAAGTGGCTTTTCTGTGCTCCCACATCAGTAGAACAAACACTCCATCCCCTGATGGGTTCCAAGCTCCCGAAGGAAATCTGTTCACTGTATTTTTTTAATTGCTTTTGGCTACCCTTTCCCCCTGCATTTTATTTTGTTTGTTCCAGTACTACGTGTATCTATATTAAAATCTAATTTGCACTTATGTTCCCTCAGGTAAGTTTTTCCATTTGCTTTTCGACCCAGACGCTCCTCCGCTGTGTCCTGCTGTCAAGCTCCAAAGTGGAAGAAATGTGGAAGAAATAACACTCCGCCGAAACCAGGTCACGCAATCCGGAACACATTTCTGATTTCAATGTTCAACCTTCCCCTTGCTTAAAGGCTGTCTGGGCCCAAACGTAGAGCCCCTCAATCATCCTCGTGGTAATCTTGGTTAAATTCCTCACTAGCAGCATGTGAAACCACCACGGCCCATGTGACTTGCAGCCCTTGGGTGGAGAAAGGCAGCACAGATGCTGCATGTGAAATTCACTGGGGTCCTGGCAGTTCTCACTGGGGCAACGACTGAATATAATGGAGACCCCCCCCACCCCTGACTTTAATTGCACAGGATTGCTAATGTACAGTATCGCTGTAAGGGGATTAATTGAACTTGAGTGTTGCTTCAGAGAGACAGAGCAACAGTGAAAGAAGACTGCTCAATCCTTATGGCCCTTCTTCAGCTACTCTGTGAGTGGAAACCTGTAAAAATTTAGACCCGAAAAAACCCCGCCAGGAAACACAAGCTGCTCCATCGGATTGATGGCTACTCAACGATGGTCAATAATCTTGATCAGATCTACAGTATGCTCGTTTTAGCATGTGTTATCTTTTTTGGCAGATACCATTTGTTTTCAACGCCGGCTGACACGAGTCGCTTCCCACGCCGAGGAAGGAGTTACCGTGGGACAGGATGATGGCGGGAGGCTTACCTTTCGTCCGGAGAACAGGAGGCAGAGCTGGTGCATGGACCCCCCGTTTTTGGTCAGTTCTTTCTTGAGGGTCTTCGGGGAGGGGAGGAGCCAGCCGCCTTTGGCGCTGTCGCTCTCCAGGCAGTTGATGGCGTTGTCGGAGGTGAAGCACTGGGCCTTGGGCTCCTGCAGCAGGCTGCCCTCGCTGTGCGTGCGGCGGCGCAGCGAGTTCTGCACGCTGAGGGTGCAGTGCTTCTCGCAGGAGGACGGCTCGATCATGCTGCGCCGCTTGCTGTCGCTGCGCTCCAGGTAGCCGTCGTCGCCGCCACTGTCCTCCTCCTCGTCCTCCTCCTCCTCCTCTTCGTCCTCCTCGTCCTCCTCCTCCTCCTCTTCGTCCTCCTCGTCCTCCTCGTCCTCCTCTTCGTCCTCGTCGGTGGCGCCGTCCGCCGGCGAGGACAGGGCCTCCGCGCTCTGGCTGAAGGAGCGGTCGAGCCGCAGCTCTGGGATAACGAACGCCGGCACGCCCGAGTCCACCCGTTCGGCTGGGCTCTCGGCCTCTCGGCCCCCGGCGTGCCAGCTCTCCGAGTCCCCCCCCGAGCTGTTGTTCTCCTCGCCCTCTGTGGAGGGCGGCGGCGTTGGGGGTGTCTTCTCCTCCTCAAGGGGGGTCTTCTCCTCTACGGGAGTGCTTTCCTCTCCGAAGGGCTTCTTCTCCTCCTCCAGCGGGGTGTTCGACTCCACGGGGGTTTTGTCTCCCTCACTTTTCCCCAGAGCGGTCCCCTCGGAGGGGCTGCCTGCCGAGTTCTCCTCCTCTGAAGCCATAGCGGCCTGCTCACAGCGCCCATCCGCCTTCGGCTCCAGCATCTGGAATGAAACAATTCAACAGCGTTTTGTTAGCGCTCTTCCATTCGGTTTGAAATCCGATAATACAGAGAGAAATACTTTTACCTTTCTTCTACCCATCCTCCTTTTCATTTATCTTAAACTGCTTTATCCAGTATAGCAGCAACGCCATGGGCGCAAGGCAGGAAACACCCTGGACGGGACGTCAGTCCATCGCAGGACACACACACTCAAACAACGGCCAACTTTACTGAAGCCACTTAACCTACTAGCATGTCTTTGGACTGTGGGAGGAAACCAGGAGCACCTGGAGGAAACCCACATACACATGGGGAGAACATACAAACTCCACGCAAACAGCACCCCAGGAATTGAACCCAGGACCACAGGCACAGCGAGACAGCTATGCTAACTACCGGGCTGCAGTGCCAACCACCTTTCCTCTTTGATTTTCCTAGAATCAGTTTTTTGACGAGAGTCACATAGACCAACATCCTTCAAAAAAAGGTAGCACATGTTAAACTAAAGAGAAAAACAAGTTTAAATAGCAAAAATACCGTTTTTGTTTAGAACATGCAAGACTACAGATACAAAACAATAGAAAATACTTTTTGCAAATGGGATTCAGTAAAGGTTATTAAAGGTTACTAATTCATTGCTTTTTACAAATAACTTTTTGAATTTATTTCTTCAGGATACAGAAATAATACCTGAAACTGCCAGAAAAAGGCTAGTTTCCAGTTAGAATATTATGATAGAAGAGTTCTCTCCGCTGTATAAAGACAGCCTATTCCTGGAATATCCTCTGAAACCAAGTAAGGAACTAAGGCCTGCAATTAAGACAAACCTGAACTACAAAAAAAACTAAACAAAATTAAATAGTAAACAGCAGATGGATGTTTGTGTGAAAAGGCATCAGCTAGTGTTTAGCTCATTTGAGTAGCATTGACTCGTGCAGAGTCACACATGTTACGCCAGAGTTTGCTGGATTTCAGCAACTAGAAAATGATTCATTAGGGCCCAGAGTAAAATCCAGAGAGGTTCAACATTATGCATGAAGGCTGCAGAGTCATGTTTTAACCTTTTTTGGAAAAAAAAACGAGTGGTTTAGAAAAAGGTCGAGATGGTGGAGTGGGAGTTAGGGTTCACGCCTTACAGCTCTTGGGTCCAGTTCCCATCTAGAATGCCCTTTGTGTGGAATTAGCAATGGTCTTCTCACCTGCTCATGTTTCCTCAGACCTCCGAAAGATACACTGGTTTGTATAACCGGTGCTTCTAAATTGTCTTTCTCCTGCACAGACTAGTGTTCAATTCGTGGTATAGTCCCACCTTCTGCACTGTTTTTCCAGGACAGACACTGGCTGGTTAGGACCTTCCTCATAATGGGTGTTGTGGAGTTGTCAGGCCAGTGAGAGCTTGATATCCCTGCTCTGACCTCCAGATGCCCAAACTATTTCAATGTAGATATGCAAAACCTTGTGAAAGTAACACAAAACCCCTGCACTGAGATTCACATTCCCCTCCTTCTAGTTTATTTAGCTGATTTAGAATTCTGCCCACTAAGAAGATGAAAAAATCCTTGAAAAGTCTAGAGGCTAAACTTATTTTTTAACTGCAGCAAAGGATTTTGGTTACGCAACAAGAAACCTATTTTGTCTGAGTTTAGGCTATTTGTGATCATGTCCCATCTTTGCCTCTTTAATGTGATAATAAGTGAAACAGCATTATTGTTCACTTTCTTCAGGAAGGTGATGAGTCGCTTAGTTGGAAGAATTAAGACGGACAAAAACATCCCTTTTTAAATCGACTTCCAATATAGTGTAATTGAAAACAAAACCCTAAGAAAGTAGGATTTTATTATAAGATAAATGAGCAAAACAAAGACAACAGTCAAATATAGGGTTCTCTCCAGGGGGCTAAAGTACTGTATGATAGATCCCCACAAAAACAGCGTATGTTTACACAGACATAATCAGTCCAAAATAATGTATAAGCCCTTATTGAAGTAACATCTCATAAACGTCAATATCACTATGAATTGTGATCAGTTCAGCTAAATTGTTGAATCCTTACCTCCTACCAAATCCCTACTTATATTAAACCTACAGAATGTGGAATTCCACTGTTACTCACAGAAAATAATTATATGAAATCCACAATTATTCAACCCACTGATGGAACACAACACAGACATCCTCTGCATACTGTATGTGCTCACACCACAAGAAAGCAATAGGTTCTGTGTCAAGACCTTTGTGAACTAAATTGAGATGGCTTAGGCCAAACAAAACAAGGAAATGCATTCCCAGCTCCTCAGACAGAATCCTTATTCATTCCTTCAGAGCCCCGAAGCTAATGCATCAGAATTTAGAATAAACTGCTCTTTTGGCAAAGGATTTCTTTTCATTTCTTTATATAAACTAAACCCAGTTCCACTGACTATATAAAGTATTTTTGTATAAGGAATACATACTGTATATAGATGTGGGAGCACTTTAAGCAAAATAATATATAATGCTTTTCAGCACAGTTTTCAAATGTTTTTCCACATGATTTTCAACAGTTGTGCACTACAATAATGTACAAATAACGATTAGATGTGCCAAGATATTTGAATTTATTATGCTTAACACTAAACAAGGGAAAATATTATAATGAATGGTGCCATTAGTTGCCATAAAAAAGTTTCAGTGTTGGATTTTGCTGCAATTTAATAATATTTCAGCTTTAATCTATTCACTGTTGCATGACTCACTTTAGTGCATTTGATTCTTTCAGATTGTACTATAAAAAAAATCTCCAGCAATTTGGAGCAATGCTGTGTCTGAGGTGTACTGTAACTTTATTGCTTCATATTTACTCCCAAATCCATAAGACCACTCAACACAGCATTTTTTATAAACTGTACAGATCACAGTTCTATATTTGTAATACTTCATATGTAATAAAACTATTTATAGTTGAAAGTTTAAGAGTTTAAATAATTCAGTACGTACAGTAAGAACTCATCTAGAAAATTGTGTACAATTTTGGTCACTCTGGAATCTGTACACTCCTAGTCTTAAAAAGCCGTGTCCTACACTCACCAGATAGAAGAACTGAAGCTGTTTTACAAAGAAGACTACATAGAGGTTGATTCATGTATTCGCAGGCAGTGACCAATTCAGAGTTAATACAGACACGCTCACCAGAGGACAAGTGCGGAAACTATGGGGGACTGCACTTACAATTAAAAAAAAAAGCTGACAGGTTTGTAAATCAAGAAGGTTAAGAGTCTGGAAAAAGCTACCCAGCCATGCTTTCAATGCTGAAAGCCTGACTTCTTTCATGAAACTGCTGGACTGGGTAACCAACTGATGGGCTGTATAGGCTCTGCCTTTTTTTACATTCTTCTGTTACTTGTTATAATATCAATGTTTTTGTTATACATTTATCTTGCCTTGAGCAACATTTCACATCACTAGCTAAGGGTACAAAAGGTCCTTGATTTAAATCCTATGTGGGGGTGTGATACTCTTGTATCCTTGTGCACAATTCTCAATTTGCCTCTCTATACACCCTGATGCATTTGCATACCACCCTTCTTTAAATACATAGTTTCCAGTGCAATTATGAACCCTTTCATGTTTCGGTTTTTTAAAAGATTTTGAAGGTAAGATGTCTTTTTTCACTAATGATGCACGAGCAAGGCCGCTCACTACCCCTGATCAAAGATAAAAAAAAAAAAAACATTAACTGGAGGAAAAAAAATGTTAACATACAGGTAAAACAGCAGAATATTAATAGCAGTCCTAATCTGTTGAACCACAAACTCAAACACACTTCCTGAACAAGCAAACTGGAATTATTTATATTTTAGGATTACAGAGCTCAGAATGATGACTGCATTCAGGAAATAAGGTTATTGATTGATGGACTTGACTGAGCCTCTGTCACCAGTATTTCTTTATGAGTGGGAGGTATCTAGAATCATCATAATGGTATCATAAGATCATTACGGTTATCGACACACAAAACAACTCTAGCCCCTGGCATCTCATGTGATTTTAGCTACATACTGTAGGCAAGAGACAGATGGATTGTGAAACGCTTTAACATGACTCATGTTCAAAACATCCTATAATCTTGTTCTAATTTATCATGATGCAGGAATATTTTAAATTATACACTGATGCTACATCTAAATTATACACTGAGGTATACAGCCACATTTCTGTACAATTCTTCACAAACCACACCTGCACTTTAAAGGCTCTCCATCCTAGATGTATTTAGTACGAATTAACTACCTCCCCCAAGTACCAGGGCAGCTTCAGTCCCTGTTAAACACTACCCATAAATCTTAGTTTCACTATATTCCTAGCAGAGCCATAGACAAACCTCAAAACAGATCAGCTGCCTTCTATTTTCTAAATCCCTAAAAAGAAGAGAATTCATTTTTAACAAAAGTACAGTCCTTCCTCTTGACTTCTGCGCTGCCCTTCCTGTTGCAATGACCAGAAGCCACTGCTCTCAAATTACCCTGGGTAGATTTTAATTCTCGCCACAGAAGAAAAAAACTCCACTCATAACAGCTTGCCAAGTCAAGATTTTGAAAGAAAATACTGTAAAGCAACGGGGGTTCAGGAGGGCGCCCTTGCCGCATTAGGTCGGCCCCCCACCGTCGGGGGCTCGAACCCAGGACCCCCCCGTCACTCAGCAGGGACCCAGCCCCGTGAGCCAAAGAGAGATCTCTCTACAGCCCAGTAGCTGTAGTCCTGCTATCACAGGGAAGGGTGGTGACGTCACCTGCTCTGTTAAGCCGGCTCTTACACAGTACCTGTCGGCCGTAAGCGTTAGAATACATTTGCCTGGAATGAATTGCACTCCCCATTAAAAGCAGGATTCACATTGCAGGTGTACGTTCACAATTTCAGCCAATAACCTCAACACTCTTGACAGTAAAACTGGCTGAAGGAATGTGACAAACGGTGATCAACAGGGACCACAGAACAGCCTAGAAACAGTTATTCACACCGAGA